AAAGTGTTAAATTCAATTAAATTTGTCCGATCGCGGTATTTATGATACGTGCAGACAAGCCTTAACCCGCCTCAAAGTCTAAAATTCACATCGTGAAAATTTTCTGCGCGAAAAACCTTAAAAGAAAAATTACAATGGCAAATAAACGACGTTATCGCATCAACAGCTTACGCAAGCAGTTGGCACAACTCAATGAAGACATCTGCGACCAGCAAGAAATGTGCAATGTAGCTCGCATAGACTTTAATCGAGCTCATAAAGCTCTCAATCGAGCTAAGGTTGACTTAAATCGAGCCTCGAAGATTCGTGACTTGGAAGATAGATCGCTTGACGAATTGATGACATGGAAGGCTGAGTGTAGACATCAATTGCAGCTTGTGGTGCGCCAGGTTGCGGAAGAAGAAAATCCTGATCAGGGACGTTCTCGCATCAGCTTACGACGGCAGTTAACAAAGCTCAATGACGATATAATCGACCAACAAGAAATGTGCAACGAGGCTCACATAGACCTCAATAGAGCTCATAAAGCTCTGAACCGAGCTAAGGTTGACTTAAATCGAGCCTCGAAGATTCGTGACTTGGAAGATAGATCGCTGCAAGAATTGATGACTTGGAAGGCTGAGTGTAAACATCAACTGCAGCTTGTGACGCGCGAGGTTGCGGCTGTGGCAGAATAACCTAATTAGGTTCCTAACGAACATCGAGTGAAGAATTCGGTGGAACAACAAAAAGTGCTAAAGACAACTAGCAAGCGAACATTGGTTGATAAAACGTAATTTTCTTATACTTGGGAACCCTGCTGCTGCTTGTGTGACTACTACAAGGAAAGATTAGCCGCGAAATTTAAATCCGTGAAAACGTAATTAGAAAATCCTGACTGCAGCTGCATTTTATTTGAATAATGGACGTTATCGTGGAGAAGAAATGAACTTGGATATCTGTTAAAATTGTTATAATTTCTAGTCAAGTCCTGCAATGACTTAGTCCTCATCCTACGCTTGTATTTTGCAGCAGTGTGGATTTCAACATTCTCTTCATTCAAAAATAAACTCAAAGGATGAATTTCGTCCAGCGAAAAATGTGTTTTCAAGGATTAAAAAACATTTGTGCAGTTTATATTTGCTGACTTTTGCTAAGTGCTTTTTGTTCAAGTACTTGTATAACTTAACCTCGAATTCTTGATTCTTTGTTCCCGCCTCTATCGCCGTGTGCTATTTATAATAAAAGTGGTACTCGCATACTCGAATCCCCCTCAGGGGGGACTTTTGACGGGTGTCTGTGCTCGTCAGAAGTACTATGGGATTTCGCGTTCCTATGGGGATTGTTCCTGAGCGCCCCAGCGCTGAGCTCGCGGTGTCTGACTGTAGGTCTCAGTTGTGGGGTTAAGTTATTATGTAGATAGGATTCCTTCTCTGTCTCTCTCGTGCGGGCGGCCGACGTCCCGTGTAAGCGACCTCTTGTTCGAGTGTCTTAGTTTCTGTTGCTTTTCACCTGTCCCTCCTTGTCACTTCGTCTCTTTTGAGATGCTAACGCTGCTTCTTTCGAGCCAGCTTCAGCGGGCTGGACATCTGAGACCTTCCGCCCCTTGTGGGTGATGAATAATTGAGACTTCCACCTCTATGGTGATGTTCATCTTGACTTTCGGTGCGAGATAGCTAAATAGCTGAAGCGCTAGTAAACATTTGGCCACTAAACTAAACTCGCATACTCGAAAATTACCAATAGTTTTATTCTCTAGTGGGAATGCTCAGCCAGTGATGAAATGATTTATATAAGTTCAGGCCATTGAACAGCGAGCCAGTAGTGGCGGTTACTAGAAAAAAACCAGTCCTGTTGAATTTATTTTTTCTTGTAACAATAAATATTCAAAGCAAGCAATATTATATGTAGCATTCATGTTCAGAAAAGAATGATCGTATAATACACCAAACAACGGAATGTTGGAACAGAATTTGAAGGCAAAGTCTGTCCACTAGGAAAGTACAGCAAAGTGGAACGGTTTTGCATATTGACTTTCCTGGCTTTCTGAAGGGAAAGTCGCACTGCTTTCGCTGCTGCGTAGCCGCGATAGCTTCGCTCTGCCGCAAGACGCGCGGGTTGTCGCTTGTGATGAATGTGGCGATGTTATTATAGTGTCGCGTCTCGTGTGGACCGACGACGTGAAGTTCTAATGTTACGTTACGTTAAAATGTTCTAGTGTTACGTCAAGTTACGTCTCGTAACGTAAACCTTAGTGATACCGAAGTTGCCGGAACAGAGTTGCTGATGGTGAGATAGTAGGTTTGAAGGCAGTCAGTCTGGTGCCGAGTTACAGAATAGGAGTTATTGAAAACGAATTGCACCGGATGAAATTTGATTGAATTGAGTTACATAGAAATGCGATAATTCGTATTAAATTTCACCTTATATACTAACCATATTGCAGTTAAGCGGAAGAATATTTAACCTACTAAGTTGCGTCAAAGAACCGTTACTAATGCAGAGTTTCTTCACAATATTATTTTTACAGTTACTTTAAAAATGCAGTAGAATGTTCCGTATTTTGTTAAAAAGTGTATCAATACGTAGTTCATGAAATATGAATTCCTGATAAGCGTTCTAAAGCTTGTCATCAAGTTATCACCAACGTGCTTACTAACCAAATTCTACGTAGTGACGAGGATACGTCTGCTGGACCCGCGCACGTAGTCACGAGGATACGTAGTGACGAGGACGTCATTTAAGAAGTGATCGCGTAATGCCCTTACGCTTTCACAATTAAGGTAAAAATATCGTCACGCAAACGTGACAAAATAAGGTAGAAAAATATTGTTACAAAGTAAGAAATGAATATGATCGCAAAAATGTTACAAAACGAGGTAGAAATATTATTAAGGTTTCAAAATGTTTTTCAGGACATTTATGACTGAATCTTATTTCTATTTTAAGGATCTGTGCGTTCATTATAAGTCATAGAATATTTCTATTTTATACTCGGGCATTACTGCTTTTACAACGCAGCGCTAAGCATCGCGTGTGTGCGGTGTACCGCGCCGCTGATATTGTCTAATTTTTAAGGATAAATAAAAAAATTTGTATTGTGCGAGAACTTTTTGAAACCTGCGATTCAGTTAACTAGTAGCAACAGGTTCACCTAAGCGACTAATTGTGCACTGGAGTCGACATTCAAAAGCGCGGTGCCGTTGCAGCCACTCACACAGACAGCCTGTGAACGTCTTTTCCTTTGAACCAAGTTTCATCCTTGAGGAAATATTTCATTCTTGAGGAAACCAAAGCCTTGTGCTACAGCGCACGATAATGAGAACCTCTTTTAGCTAGAAGAAATCCAACTGAAGTTGCGACTTATAAACACGCCGGTCAATGACGATATTAGCAGAAAGCGATCTCGTAATATTGACAAAATGCGATGGTTGAAAGAAATAATATAAAAAAATTGAACAACGCATTGTAGCATTTTATATCAATTTTTGCATGGCTTAATGCATTAAGACTTAATGCATTAAAGAAAAGATCTTAATGCATTAAAGAAAAGATCAACAAGTAATATAAGCTTAGTACGGGGCAGATGACTTGAACAATAGAAGTCCACCGTTCGCCGTTGAATAAACTATAAAAAGAAAGGAATCTTTCTTCCATCTACAATCAAAGTAACATCTTTCAAAGGTCGATATTGCTGCTTGCAAACTCCGTTGCTAAAAACAAACCTAAAAAATTATCATAACTCATGCTCAACTACTTACACTATATTATACATTATACTGTAATAATGTTAGACATTGTTCTTTGCACAATAAATACTGAGAAGTAAAGCTTCTTTAAAATGCACCATAGCAGGTAACCGCGACGGTAAATAAATGTACTTGTATTTCAGAGGTCGGACATTCAAAACAATACTGGACGTCAAAGTTCAGTTCGAACTTGAGAAGCGACGCTACCGATCCATTATTGTACAAATAATATCGATTCCAATGACAGAGTAATAGACCATGTGCATTGACACAATAGACCTAATGCATTGACAGAATAACAGACCATGCAAATCTAAGAATTTAAATGCAAACGTAAAGTTCTTAATTAATATTCTAAATAAAAATAATTAGTTTTGGCGGAAAACATCCAATATCTAAGAACGACATAAAACTTAATGTATAATTTGTAAACAAGAGACTCAAATTTCTAAGGCCTGTTGCCCCTTGCCTTAAGGAGGTAGGGGGTTTCACCTCGAACTACATCTCCCCGTCCTCAGATCATTACACTTATAAACGCACCAACAGCCACGTGATTAACGTAAGAAAATACATATTAACGTGCACACGTATGACTCAGTTCCATATTTCTGCACAACTATTGACTTGAAGCGTGATGAGAGAGCACTGACACTTGGTGTATAAGGTGTTGTGCGAGTGTTGTTGTTGTTGTAATTGCCCATCCTGGTAGTGGCGACTAGGTAAGGGAGGGGAGATAGGACTGCGCCAGAGGAGGCAGCAGTGATGCGACCACAGCACCTCTCAAGGTATTTCTCAACGCTAATAATCAAGTTGGAATTTTGGGAAGAAGGAAAAATAGTAAAATGAATGGCTACCAGTGAATCATTTCTAAATTTAAATGTTCCTGGAAATCATAAGGAAACTAAACATAACTGTTGCTCGTCTAGTGAAGTTGTGCGTCTAGCGAGGCAGGCGAGTACAATATAAGGGCGGGCAGTAAGTGCATTGAATTAGATACGCATACATAGACAAAAAATAACATTACATTAGATTCTGACTAGAAATAATGAATGTACTTTAAATAATATTGCGTTATAAGAGTTAACACGTTTCTCTCAACGAAAAGAACAGCGAGCTTGACATCTCACGAGCTGTACCAGGCAACAGATGCTCGTAGCTGCACCGAGCCTCACATCTCACGAGCAGCACCAGGCAACAGATGCTCGTAGCTGCACCGAGCCTCACATCTCACGAGCTGCACCAGGCAACAGATGCTCGTAGCTGCACCGAGCCTCACATCTCACGAGCTGCACCAGGCAACAGATGCTCGTAGCTGCACCAGACAACAGATGCTCGTAGCTGCACCAGGCAACAGATGCAGTCATTTATGACTCGTCACAATATAAATCCGACAGGATTTTCGTCACTATATTGCAACAAGAATTTGAACTAATAATTAAGATAATTTTTTTACGCAAACGCTGTAAAAATATTGGCAGCAACAAAGTCGTACCTAAAGTGTTAGCTGCTGATCAAGATAAGGTTCATGTATTGCTGTGAACCACAAGAGCATCAGTCTTTGACGAAATTTTACACAGAGGAAAATACAAAACCGATGACAAGTAATGATAAATAAAGCACTGGTAAAAATAACAAGGGTGGCAAGGAATAAATTCGATAAATTTCAAGTAAAAATCATCATGAGTAATTTAAAGTAACGATTATGCAGCTGAAGGTGATGAATTTCACTCAAGTTTCATCTCAATTGACTTGAATTCAGACCTAAGCCTCTGGATTCCCTGATGAGGGCAGCCGGCGATGACGTGCTCTTGCTGGCATTACGCACGCCACGCCGCGATATTAGAATAATATTTAAAAGAAAGTTAATAGCAACAAATTTTAGAGAGGAATTGGAGGAGTAAAAGAAGTCAAGAATAAGCGAATGCCTAAATACAAACGGTCGAAGCTGCCATGATACTCTAAACGTAAATGCGAATAAAAATACAAATATTTTTAGGATTTGGTGCGTTACCATGTTATTATTGCAATAACTAAGCAATGGAAGTGCCAGAGTTGCCCCAGCGACCTCACGCAACAACAAAAAACTCATCGCCTCTCTTACGACACATGCAATGACGATGTTGCAACACTTAACAAATGCACTTATCTTCTTACTAGCAGACACGCTTACATATTCAGTAGCCAATCTTTCANTGATACATCCGTCTATTAAAGGAGCATAGGTTTATACATCCTTCTATTAAAGGAGCATAGGTTTATACATCCGTATATTAAAGGAGCATAGGTTTATACATCCGTATATTAAAGGAGCATAGGTTTATACATCCGTCTATTAAAGGAGCATAGGTTTATACATCCGTCTATTAAAGGAGCATAGGTTTATACATCCGTCTATTAAAGGAGCATCGGTTGATACATCCGTCTATTAAAGGAGCATCGGTTGATACATCCGTCTATTAAAGGAGCATAGGCTGCTACATCCGACTATCGCTGCATCTGGTTTAATGTCATTCGACTACGCGATCTGGACATGGGATTTGAATTTAGAGTGGATGAAAAATCTGTTTTCTTACTCAACTTCGAGACACGCAAGTTGAACTGACAGAACAATAAAATATCTTCAACTGAAATAAGCTTCCACTCATGACTCAAGAAGTTGGTCAAGAGTCGGCGACCTAAGAAATATTTTGTAATTCACAATTATGTGAGAAAGGCTTCATGAAAAACACTCAGAAGCATCAGAAATGAGCGGTGACAAGTCATGTTATTGGGCTTAAGGCGAGGCTCGTTTCTTAATCGTTCATGACGCACTTCGAGTGCCATGGAACATCTTTAAGATTTCTATCAAACTCGGGTAAGAATTTTAAACGTGACGGAACAGAGAAGATCGGAACAGAACAGCATTGAATTGAATTTTAGTTTCCATACAAAAATAAAAAGGCATAGACATACTTCATACTTGGCAGGAATCGCGACTAGCAAGGGAATCAAGTTCTCAATAAACGAATTATGGTAGCAGTGAACTTTACAGTAACTGATATTTGCACTCTAAACTTTCACTTAATGAAACGATTTTCTTACTAACAACAAAAGACTCACCCATTTCGGGAGAACAGGCTTGTGTTCCTTGAGGTCTTCATTGTGGTCAATAAAGCCGTACTTGTTGATGATGGACGCCTTCACAGCCTCGTCGTCCATGAGCTTCCTCGCTGTCGCCTTGCTCACAGCCTGAACAAACATTACAATAAATATAGAAGCTTTATAATGCGGCACAAAACTGACTAAATTTTGTTTCGCCGTTGCTACTTATCATCGTGCAAAACGAATGCTCCATAAAATTGGCCCACAGTATTTATTTAGAAAATGAAATTGAAAATGGTTTGCCGATATTTTAGGATTACAGAAGCTTCAGTCTTTGAAAACTCAAGAAGGAGGAGTAATATTTAAGGTATTCTTTCTTCCACACTTGAGAAAAATATTGATACAAGAGATATTGGATGAAGAAGAGGAAAAAAAGCTAAAATTGCTATCAGGAATATTTTGACAACGCCATACACCAAACTAAATAATTCGATCACATTAGCTACGAAAGACGCACGTTTTGAGAGACATGCCTAGTGTTTTGTACCTCTGCCAGCCCAGCATAAAGATGAGCACAGTATAAATATAGCCTAACGTATACCAGCACATTTACAGCACACAGGTGCAGTAGTAGCCGCATATCGTGCAGCAGTAATATATCGAACAGACGCAGTACCTATATCAGTAGTATATCATACAGGCGCAGTAGTATGGTATATTGTACAGCACAGTAGCCGCACCGTTTCAATAGAAGAGATGCGTGAGTTGAGAGGTGGTGCGTCGAGCATGAGTGTGATTGCTTCCTGTACATCACCACCGCTGGTGAGGAGGCAGCGTTCAGCGTCGACGCGGCAGGCGTCAGGGAAGAGCTCTAGTAACGTGTCCACGTCGCTGGTGCTGCTCGTGCTGCATGAACTGGAGCTGCACTTACGTACCTTCCCATCTGGTGTTGCCTGGTCATGGAGAACATCTTTAGTGTTGAACATGGATGTTCGTTGAACTATTGTTACCATGTCTTGAGACAAAAATAGTATAATACAAAGATAAGTAATTGACTAGAAGTACCTAGATTCGTCTTCCTAATGGCATGGATAGTAAAGTGTACCGGTATAATAATGATACAACCATTAAAAAGAATAAAATAAATTTACAATCAAAATAATCAGAATAAAAAAAATAAATTGAGGAAAGGCAAACTCTGGTATCTAAATAGAGATCTCACAAAATAATCTTAACTAATCAATGAAAGTAATGACAGTTTACCCGCTCAATAACTGAATTGATTTCAGAAGTGGAGGGAATGCGCGACTTTGTCTTGGCTTCACATGTAAAGGCGGACACAATGGCATCAAGAGTCACGCCTGGGGTTTTTTCTCCTGTAGGAAGCACACAAGAATATAAATCCTGAATATTGAACAATAATTACCAGGGATAATGTATCAGTAACCTGGTGAAAACGGTTAACCAACTTAGGATGTTCCAGTGACAGGAATTGTGCCCAAAAACCAAGTTGCAATGCAAAGAAAATCTGTGGATATTGTTCTGAAGCTTGCTTCCTTCAGGTCAAGTGGTGCATCGTAGTTTTGTGTTAAAGTTTAATCATCCTACTGCTGATTTTTATAAGTGCTAATTTTCTGCACACAGGGCAAATCCATTAAGAATATAAAATTGGGAGCATGAATAATTGTTCAACAAGAAGTTCAACTGATTTATTATGCATTTCCCGATTATCTGGCTGATAGGGGTCCAAACTTTTTTCTTAGTGTTTATTAATTCAGAAGAGCTATTAAATTCATTATTTTTATAAATTTTGACAACAGTCATGAGCCATGACCAGCTATATTAAAATACAACTGTGAAAAAACTCCACGCACAAAAGCCAGACTAGCCTAAGCTCACCTTTATTTCGTCGCTGCTTGAGTGCTTTGCCCGTATTGATGATCCACTCCCCTATTTCATGGTCAGGCACATCACTGAAGCTCGGCTCATAGGCCTCGACAAGCTGCTTCACTCCCTCCACGTCTGCAGGTTCTCCAGCCACTTCGTCTTCCACCACCCCAAGTACGTAGTTCACCACAATATCATCAAGACCGCTGTAGAATAATTAAGCAATTGAACACCTAAATAGCCACTCAGACACTACAGAATTAGTTTAATTCTCAGACATGAATTAAGGTAATGGTAGAGAAAATTCTTCAGCCAGTAAATTTGTTTGGAATATTTCTCAGTTTACAATTATTTACTTAAAGAGATGGACTTATGAGGTACAATTTATAATGATGCAGTATATTTATACAGATACAATGGCATCAAAACCATCTCAAAGGAAGTCTTATTTGCACATGGAGGCATTTTTACACACACATACTAGTGAATGATGTGCTGCTAGCACACTACACAACTGGCATTGATTCTAAACACCACAAATATAATCATGTAAAAACCTTTCTATCATAATTGATATTTTTTAACTATAAGAGTAGGCAATAACTCAACAGCAGTCACTAAATGGTTTACTGTCAACAATTGGGGTTGATTAATAATAACAATTCTTTATAACAGACCAACTGCAAAAAACAACTTGCCTCAGGTCTGCTTCAGGTGCATATAATATCACCAGTTCCTTAAGAGATGAAAACACAAATTCTGTGTCAGCAGCCATGTCTATCTGAAGCTAAAATATCTGCTCAGGTGAACCAGGGATTAGTAGTTAAACTACAGAAACAAATTTCTAATAGATCATAAATATAGTAAAGTAATGGTATATTATTAACAGTTAATTGGTATATAAATATAGTAAAGTAATGGTAATGAACTTGAAATGCAGTCTTTGTGCTCATGATGTGGTGCCAGTGCTGGCCATTGAAGTCATACCGTGATATTTCATGCTCTTTGTCTTCGTGTTATATTGAAATTAGGAAAGTTATTCATCATAATTTGGATATTGGATTATGAACATGAGCCTAGAGCCAGCAGCACAAATTGCCATTTTATATTTGAACTGTTGGTGAATGGCCAAAGCTGTCTTTTTTTAATTTGCAGTTGGGTCTTGTAAAGCAGTGAGGAATGGTGCTATTATGCTGTGCCACTCTGAAATGGTCAATCTCAAAATACTATGTTCTTAACTTCTTTAATCTTTTATATTAATTTTTGAATTGCACCATAAACTCCCAGTCCCACCATACACATTTGGTAGAATAGTAGCAAAATACTGTAAGACTATTTTCTGGATATTCACCAATCACCACTGTTACCAATACCACAAAGCCCCATGTGATGATGTACCATGTTCATGTTGTACAGTGAAACATATCTGCAGCCGCAGATTATGATAAGTCATGTTCAGTACAAATTACTGAAAATTTTCCTTTGTAGAATTAGGCAAGTTCTAGCCATAGAAATTTGTATCACAGTTAGCGGGTTGCGACTGGTGCGACAGCACGGTGCCCTCACTGTTTTGGTAAGGAGCTATTTATTTTTGGATACTTGTTACGTATATTATTACTACTTTCATTCTAGAGTACTTCTGTTGGAATGATGAGTTATTCATGATTATTTCAATATTCTATTATAATTTACGCTTGTTCATTTGTGTGTTAATTTGTTTGCAGAAACCGTTTGCGGTATGTTAAATAAAAATGAAGAACCTAGCACAAGTTAATGACATCCTGCAACGCGTTAATTCAGCAGTATGGGAATTTAATACGAAAGACGAAGAAGAAAGTGGCTACTAATGTAGAAGTCGTCTTTAATATCCAAGTATCTAATACTGTACAATCTAATAATGAAACATTTCCAAGTATCTATGCATGAGAGATTTGACTCTGGACAGGCAACTAGTTGGGCTCTGGCAAGTGGCAACATTGCAACAAATGGAAATGATGATATCATTGCCATGTTTTAGTCAGCATACAGCAACACCTTTAATGAAGCCACCACAACTCGTGACATAGCTCCTAAGGGCTAAGCTCAAGCTCAACATAGTCCAGCCTGCCACCAGCACCTGTTGCCAGCTTGTAGGATTGGAGCGTGGTGACACTGAAAAAAATCTTCAGACATCAGGCCTTTGTATTGGCTAGCTGCCATGTGTCACACGTTCATTTTAATATTAATTTTACAGGTACCATACAGGATTCAAGGTAGGTATTGAGACAAGATTTAGAGTGCAGAGATGGTTTTTGTCAGTTTTAGATGCAAATAATAGGTTCATGGAGTAAAAGAAATAGGGGATGGTAAAGGGGAGGGAAAATACTTTCAATTTAAATATGTATGTTGTTGTGTAGGTTATTTCTAGGTCCAACTTATTGCATGGTAGTTTTGGACATTTGTCATACAAGTCTTATTACTTATTAGCTCCCAAAACATTAGCTAATACTTTGTTTCTCTCTACATTTTTTGTTATTTTATTATTATTACCATTCTTTTACTTTTTGTTGCCCTCATTTTCCATGCACCCTCTGGGCTCTGGCCTATAAAAAATGCTAAACCACTATCTATCATGCCGTCATGGCAGTGGTTACCCCTGGGCCTGGTGACAGGCCCACCATCAGCCTGACTTCAGTGACTTGGCGTCACGGCCATCGCCGTCGTTGGCAATGCAGCTTGCAAACTCTGCAGGCCAGGATTGGAATTTTTCTATTTGTTTCTGAAATCTCGCGGCTTCAACATGACGAATTTTCAATACATTTGGAATCTCGCGGCTCGATATCGCACTTTTGTTAACATTTGGATAGGAGGTAATTCATCTGACGGAAATCTCGCGGTTTCAGAAATGGCGGGAAACCTCTAGTTGCGGCCCTAAAGGCAGATGTTTTCAATGCTTGTCTGCAGCTGCACCCTGGCTGAGGCTGGCTCTGTAAGTCTGTTCAACTCTGTTGCAGTCGCACATGAAAGTGAAACAGATATTGATCTTCTTTCATTCCACCTGTATGTTCGTGCATTCACATCCACGAAGCAAAGTGGCAAATGGCAATTGCAAACCACAGATTTTTTAGAATCAGTTCATTTTTAATTTCCTCATTTACCCAAGATTTGAATCAATTTCTTATGTATGATACTGCTGGTATCCAGGATACTTAACTGGTCTACTTATAAGACTCACAAATGAACTTGAGGGAGAGTCTAAAAAACTCTGTGCTAATGTGCTTTGCCACTGTGCCACAAAGTACAAACTGGTAAACAGAAATCCATCAATCCATAGCCTACTTTATCATATGCTCTCTTCACTCAGTCTTCAGGTCTTTATAAACAAGTGATTCTTCAGTGATTTCCTTTGAAAGGTCATCTATAAAACTTAATAATAGTTGTCAGAAGTTTTTTATACATATAATATGCGAAGTAAAACAACCAAACCTAGGTACCACTTACCAGCGTACCACGAATTCTACTTGCGTTGTGCGCAGAACGTACATCACTCTCCAGTCTAATGAAAATTGGAAACCTCTTAGACTTAACTTCACTTAAGTGCCCACTGCCCTGTTTCGTTCATGTTGTCCTCGTCGTCGTAACTCGTAATCCACACTGACTTGACTCTTGACAGGACTCGCAGACGCAGTTACAGTCACAGCCTCACAGGACTGACAGGAGTTACACTTACATGCGATCTAAAGTATACTCCTGAGAGTCCAGACGAGCAGCTACTAGCCGTTCCAGCAGCTTTCCTAGACATGGAAGCAGCGTTGTTGGCCGAGGGCCGGTAAGATGAAGGACAGCGGTACCAGAAAAAAAAACACGACCAACGGCAACTGTGATCGTTTGGTGACAGATCTCGGACCGTCGATGCGGATCCGTGCGTTATCTAATGGTGTTGGGTCTGGAAGCGTTGCCGGGAACAGCAAATTTTGAACATAAATCAGCCTTGGATGCAACACTCATCATCTATCCGAAACGCCACCTTGTTATTTTCGGGGTGTCCTTGCTGGGTTGATTTGAAGCCAGAGGTCAACTTTAGGCATGGCCGTTAGGCCTGGCGTCCGATAGCTTGTGCAGTGTAAAGCCACCAATCAGCCGTACAGTAAACCGGTCCTCGGTAACCGAGCGCGGTAACATATTATGCCTAATATTTCCTATTCATTCTTAATAAGAAAGGCCAAAAAAGCTAATAGTACTAGAGCATTTAGTCTTGGAAGAATAATCAATTCTCATTTTGCACACATCATGATTTAGTCCAAAACAGGTGTCTCTCATATCAGGTTTCCAATTCCAAGCAAAATACAAATAAAATATTATTTCTTCGCTCACAAACCTGCTATCCTTCCTTCTGGTTTTACGGCTTCAGCGTCGTAACCTTTGCAATAATAATGCGATCACTATCAATTTAATAATTAGCAGCACCACCAACACCAAACACAGTCACTAATATCACTATCAATATTCCCACCAATATTACCGGCAACATCCCTAGCAGTATCTATACATTCTCTCCAGCAAAAAAATTAAAAGCTACACCGTCTATTTCACTTAAAATAATTTAAATAAGTATTCAGCATGAAAACTAGTACAAATTCATGTACTTATTAATATTAATTTCTTATTAGGTTAGAGCATTAGACTAACATTGATGCTAAACCGTCAATACTGATAACAATCAATATTTTTGGACTAACTAATAAAATTTCAATTGATGTTGTTTCTTCAAAATTGAATATCTGAATTATGACTAAGTGCAGTTTGAGAACAATATTTTCTTAGAAAGAAACTGTATGAAAATTGTAATTTATAAACATGCATTTTCGGGGCAGTTTTGTTCCCTGAACTACCAGTCGTAATATGCGCAGGCGCGTCAGAGAAATTCTTAGATGATCCAAAATGGAATACAGCCAATCAAAACGTTCTCATTCAATTCATCAAATTCCTGAACCTTTAATCGCAATATTAGCACTCGATTGTTGAACTTTCACCTAGTGAACGAACCAGTTCAAAGTCGGCAACAAAATCTAATGCACTCATCAGCGGCCTCTCAAGTTGCTACTACATATGTACAGGGTGACACAAAAAAAACAGAGCTCATAAAAAGTTGAATAATTTCCACAATACTCAAGTAATCCTGTTATTTGTTTCAGATTCATTAAGAAGACGGATTGATCTAAGAGTCTACCACGTGTGAGCTTCGAGATGCCTTGGACTACAGAGCAAAAGACATTTGCAGTTGAGACATATTTTCACTGTAGAACAAAGAGTTTTTGTGGTATAGAATTGAGATTTTGCAGATGTTGGCTACATAGGTTGTACATAATTCCATAGAATTTTTGTTTCAAACTGAATAAAATTTCAGGAGTTATAAGACTTTTAGTGAGCTCTGTTTTTTTTGTGTCACCCTGTAGATAGGTTGTTCACACTGAACGCTCCAATTACGGAGTATCCCTCGAACATTAAAGTGATTCTCACCAGCAGAGGATAGTTCAATAACATTTGCAAGAAGGCTAGCTAACCCCTGTTCGGCGTGGCGTGGCAAGATATTACACCCACCGCAGTGCTAATATGGTATTTAATAGCCAACTTTGCCTCGTGCAACCCACTCGAAAATATTATCTCGCCTCCTGAGCGCAAATTGCGTCAGTATTATATTCGAAACAATATTATTCATAAGAGAAGAATAAATATCTCTGTTTGAGATTTACTGAGCGTGGTTTATGCATTAAACGAAAGACACATGTCATGTTCGTGATGATTGCTTTACGCATGGGATTTTAATTTATTTTTACTC